CTTCTAATATCATAGTGTGGAATACCTAACAAAAATGATGGAAAGAAAAAGAAAAAGACTCTAAATGAATTTGGCTAGATATAAAAAAAAAAAAATTCTAAAAATCCCAGCATCCATCATTTGCGCATATGTGTAGTTGTTCCAACATAATGAATTCATTCTGATGAAGTCCTGAAGGACGAAATGCATCACAAGTAAACTTTTTCCAATTTGTCATACTATATATATATATATATATATATATATATATATATATATATATATATTTGTTATTGAGATTTATTCCTTAATTTCAGATATATAAAGATCTGCCATGTGTTATAAGAAAGATATAACCTCAAACAATCAAAGTATTCATTGACCCAACCCACAAGATAGACATTAAAATAAATCATATACTGGTAAGTACTTTACAAATTCAGATTAGTGTGAGTTTGGATGTAAAAAAATATGAATGCTAACAAATGAATCAATCAAAATACGACATAAAAAAGGCCATCTTTATTGATTCCTTTTCTTTCTTTTTTCTTCCACTGACATCTTTCTTTCTGTTCAATGTCTACATCTACAAACAATGTCACAAATAGTGGATGGATATTTTTTTTTAAAATTAAACATCACAAAATAAAAACTGGAGAAAAATTAAAGAGAAAAAAAAGAACATGATGAAAATCCAATTTTCTTGTGACTACAATTATTTTGAAATGTATAGAAAAATTGAAAGATGAAAAAATTAAATTTATATCTTCACATAGCGATAAAGATTTCAATTACTTTTTTTTTTTGCAGCAGGGTGTTTTGCAAAATTAACAGAGGAAAATGATATAAATACAGAGAAAATAAAGCAATTATCTTTTGTATAAATGTATCAGAAACTTTAACAGATAAAAAATTTGAACAGTCAACTTGGGGTGACCATAACAGAAAAACTCTTAACATTAAGTCAAACAGAAATGATGCAGACAATCAATTCACTTTTCATATTTGTATAATACAAAAAATAGCCTCATTTTGTTTATCTGTATGTAATTTTGAAGTAGAATAAATGTTGCACTGTAGCCAGAGTAATGTTGTACTAACATAAAAGATACAAAAAGAAAGAAAATCTAGGTGATGTGTAATTAAATGATAATATTGTTGGGTATCAGTTTGAACTGAACTGGGGAAAAAATAATCAAGGGAGATAACCATTAAATGCTAACTTCTGTATTTACTTATTTGCATACAATAAAAAAAAAGAAGCCCCCCCCCCTCAAAAAAAAAAAACAATGGAGTTAACTATCAAATGCTGATCATATAGTTCTATTCTGTATATTATTTATTTGCACAGAATTAAAAAAGGTAAAAAAAACTACATTCACTTATTACAACTCAATTTTTTTTTATTTTTAACTACATTCACTTATTACAACTCAATCAACTTAAAGTTCTTTTTTTTTTTATATTTCTTACCAATCCCCTTCAACTTATATGCTAAACTCAAAAGTACTAACTAAAACTGAACCCCTCACCACTAAGAATTTGCAAAAACAATTCTTGCCACATTAGTTATAAGACTCCCTAAAGACTTAGGAACAGGAACATAATTATAGCGAACTCATACTTATTATTTGCAATCTAGGTGAAAAAAATAAATTCTCTTTTACACATAATAGACAGAAGGTAGTAATTATAGTAAACTCATACTTATTATTTGCAATCAGAGTGTAAAAAATAATACCCCTTTTGCACATAATAGACAGAAGGTAGTTTAATCTGTGAGGGAGCAAATTCATTGATAATCTTCTTCTCATTTTCTCTCAAAGGATGACCCATTAGTCAGTCATGCTAGATATTGTGATTTTCATCCCCTTGGATAATCAGAAATATATATATATATATATATATATATATATATATATACACTCAGGCAGCATATCTTTATTCAAGCATGTTTCATTAATGTCTATTTTTGTTATAATCTTTTCTACTTCTCTAATTATGTTATTGACGTTAAGTTGAAGTTCATCAAGAAAGACGTCATATTTTTTATTAACCCATGTACTTTCAATTTCCTCCAAGATCATCCTCAGGGTGAATTTCAAAGACAAACTTAATGTAACTGTATTTGTTGTGATAGTGATTTTACAAACATGCTCTGCTATAATTATTTTAAAATTAACCGTTTTGGTTACAATGTTTTGTAAACAAGCATTCCCAGTCCAAGGGCAATAACCAGAGATGGTAAAATTTCAAAATGTTAGTCAAGTGAAATGCATTTTAAAACATTGCTACTATAAATTTTGTTCAGTGTTAGTTGGTTGCTTTTGATATAGAGGATCTCAAAAATTTGAAGTTTTTGTTTATTATTTTCATGGTGTAGAATATTGGTTTTGTCAACAAGTATTTTCCTGTATTGTGAAGGTGGACAGGAATGTATCTTTAAATATTGTGTGATAGAACTGATAAATGGAGTGTAATACATCTTGATAATATATATATCTATATGTGTGTTTGTATATAAAGTTGTGTTAGATGCATATGTTCTTAACCTTAGTGTATGTGTCAATCAAGTGTCAGCCAGGGTAAAGCCCCTGTGAAAAGTGTTGGAAATGAAGAGAAGAGATTATGATTCAAAAATGGAAAACAGTATATAAAGGAAAAGACAGAAGGAAAACTTTTCTACACTAATGCATTTAATTCTTTAAGGAACTTTATCAAGTTAAATATGGAGATTTTATTTCATAACTTGTATTTATACACAGAAGTAACATGGAAGAAAACATCATTAAGTTTTCAAATTCTGAATTTGAGACTGCTCTAAAATAGTTTTAAAGCTTATTGTGCAAGAAAAGAAAAACTATGGAGGATGCTAATTGATATAATATATTGCCTAATAAACAAAAGTGAGTTGGTGAATTTTTAACAAATTTTTTTTTAATGTAACTATTTATTTCTACATATTTCATTTTATTCACTTATTTACATATCAATTTATTTATTTATTTTAAATATTTAAAAGGCCTCGAGTTAACAGTTTTCTTTTAACTTAAAAAAATTTATGGTCATGTAAGTTGGCTTGAGAAAGGATCATTTCTTTTAAAGATATACTTGATAAAATCCAGTGTGTAAATTAACATTTTGGCAAGAATCAATAATTATTCTTTCAAGAACTTTCCATATAGATAAGTTATTTTTTCTTTTAATTACAGCACCTTTGAGATCAAAGTTGTGTATGCTGTATTTCTTAAAAGAGAAAACTTATCTGGGAGAGAAAAATTAACTTTTAAGCATTCATAAACTCTGTAGGGTAATGCAAGAAATAGTAGTTAATGTTTTCATATTATTTTTCTTTTTTGTTATTTTTCCATATGAAGAACGTAATTGTATTCCCATTAAGTACTTTTCAATCTTCTGTATGGAAGTGGGTGTGAGGGTGGTGTAATGGATAGCAGCTTAGAATGAGTAATTGGAGTGCTGAGTTCAAATTCCAGTCAGGTTTGTTACATTCACTTATAAGAAAGGTATGAGCCCATCTCTTCCCCCCCCACCCCCAGCTATGGCTTAATTAATAGTGTGTGTATCTAGCAAAATCATTATCTGCCCAAAAGTTGTTAATGCAATATTCTCTCACAAAAAAATTATTTTTATAATCCAAAATGTGTTTTGGCTTTAAATAACCTATAAAGGGTTGCTCAGCTGTACCCCCCAAAAAAAATACAAAACTAATCAATTTGTATGGAAGTGAAAATTTCATTTTAAAATTTAATGATTTCCTCTCAGAGATTTTCATTATACATTATGTCAGATTTTATTATGTGAGACATATTTTCATAATAAAACAGGTATTATCCAAACAACAATATTGTTGAAGATATCAGGGTATATTTATATGAAAATTAATATTATTCTTTAATTTCATATATATATATATATATATATATATATATATATATATATATATTGAAACAAGAAATACATGATTTCTTAACAGTAATTTTTAATGATGAATGTTGAGCTACATTGGATGGATCTGATTGCTGGGCTAGAAATTAGGTCCTTCATATCAATCAATACGGTTGATATAAAGGATCTAATGTCATCAAAGTTGAAGACAATAGTGGGCAGGTATAGTAATGTCTTGGCTAGTATATTGTTAGTAAAATTATAGATCCTTTTGAAATTGATGATGGTTCCAAAATGCAAAAGAATGATTCTAAGTTAACAGACAAGTTCTAGCACAGGTTACAACCAAGAATCTTTGAGCTGAAGAGTAAATTCATACAAGACAATGCTCATTTGCAATCTGTCAAACTGACACCTTGCTAAAATAGTTTCAAAAATGCTGAATTTATAATCTCTGGAAAGCAATAAAAATTGTTGTAAGTCTTAACATTAATGTAAAAAAATTAAAAGTTTAATAAAATCAATGAAAGAAAAACTGATTAAGGCTATAGAATGTGAACGGGCCCATATTAACATATAAAATAATTAAATATTTTATAAATTATTGATGGATTTGTTTTTTTTACAGCTTATCAACCTTTCATAGTTTATTTAAAGCCATAAATTATTTTTAGATTGTGAAAGTGTAAATTTTAGATTGCAAGTTTCAGAGATATTTTTTTTAATCATATCATCTTCATGCAAAGCAGTAAAGCCACTAAGATAAAAGAGGGTTACTGAGTGTGAAATAAAAAGAAAAAAGAGAAACATTAAGTAGCAAGACCAATAGAAGAGTAATCAAGAAGACAGTAGATAACAATTGACATTGTATTTAAATTTTTGAAGATTAAAGTTAGCTGGAAAGCACGGAGGCTCAAAAGAGTTCCACATGTGAGAAGTATGAGAAAAGATTGATACTAATTAACCCATAAATGAGGGGAGAAGAGATGGATTCATACCTTTTTCCCAAGAGTATTTGCGCATAAGTGAATATAACAAACCCAACTGGAATTGGACATCTGTTTTCAGATTTCCAATTCCGAGCCATTATCCATTACACCATAAACACATCCAAGCTAGCAGCACCTGAAATTCCCAAGTGATCACTCATCTAGGTACTGACCATGTTCAATATTGCTTAACTTTGTAAATCATATGAGAACCAGCGTTTCAATCTGATATGGCTGTAAGCTTTATAAATGTATAACTGGATCTCTATCTATAAAAGGCAGGATGTGTGTGTGTGTGTGTGTGTGTGTGTGTGTAACAAATGCATGGCTGCAATTTTCGACGAATTTGCACCAAAATTTACATGCACATGCTCCAAGTTAGCGGGATGGCCAAGACTGACTTTGCATTTCCCAACTCCCATCGATAGTGGAAATAATCGATTTTTTCATGCTTCTATAGCAGTTTTCATGTAGTTTGCGGCCATTTTCTACTGGCCAGAGTGAGAGCCTATAGCTGGCTGCCACGAATAGGCAGGAAGATTCTGTTGGCCAGTGTGAGAGCCAACAGCTGACTGACATGAATGTTAACTAGCATGCTAGCATGCAAAAAAATCAATAGCTGCATTCGCCACAAGTGGGAAAAATTTAAATCTGCATGGCACTTTACTCCAATTGGCTCATCCGCTTGCTTAAACTCAATGTTGATTCTGATTCCACAGAACTGGGTTGGGTGTGAAAAAGTATTTGTTGCTAACATTCTTTTTTCATTTGGTTTTTCCAGTTATGAGTCCTTTTTTAAAGCTGATCGTTTTGTGTTCATTTTGTTTAGTTTTTTTTTTTCGAACAGATTTAATGTTTAGTATAGAGCTTAGAAAAAATTTGCAGTGAGATAGGCAAGAAGTAAGGCATGTAGCAACATCAGCACGGCAAAAGGTACCCTTTAAAGGCAAGGAAGGGCAAAAATATTTTAAGTCAAGTGATTGCTGTATGAGTCGTACAATTTTTGAATCAAGCACAGGCAACGCCGGGCCATGCTGCTAGTACATTATATTTATCAAATGTTTATGTAGCCTATTGCTTTTAGATATATTTCCATATACATTTTTTCTTAGTTTGTTTTCATAATAAAACCTGAGACCTCACAATTGTCATTAATTTTTATAAAGATAGATATTATAAGCTGAAACTAATATATTTTTCGTAAGATATATCCTAAAACATTGGCCAACAATGGTTAGTTTATACTAATTTTAGAGTGAGAACACTGACTTGAATAATAAAATCTACATTAGTATAAAATCCTTAAGTATTTGAGTAAAAACTGACCAAATTGATTCAGATTTCATGTTTATAACAAAAATGTTTAAAATCCTTTCTACAAGTTAGAATACATTTTACTTTTATTAAGTAAACTAGTTGTTAGGGTTCTTACTGTTGGTAGCAGAATGTAGTGAGGACAAGGACATTAAAAATGAATTATATGTCTTCATGGAAATTTTAGATATATTAAGAAAAATCTATTTCATATCTGCCAGAAAAAAAATAATATCTTACTTCATAATAAAGTTTAAATGCTCCAAAAGACCTTTTTTGTATGTATACCTTTAAAAAAAACAGTCTATTATTATTGGGAAGAGAATATTCATCAGGAGATAAAGAGATACAATAAGACGTGTACAAGACAAAATTGGTAAAAAACAAATGAAGAAAAGTGGTAGGAGGAGAGAAGGAAGAGGAAGAATATTACAGATATGGGAAGAGGACAAAAAAATTAAAAGGAAAGAGAAATTCATATTTATTTAAGGGTTATTATTAGAAATAAAAAGAGTAAAAATGTAGCAAAGAGAAGAAAATGATAAATTATAGAAAATTTAAAAAAAGGAAAAGAGAAGTTACAGTAGTAGCAGAGGTAGAAAGAGGATGACAATGCCACAAAAAAAAGGACAAGTAAGAGAAGATTAATAATAAGTGGAGAGAGTAGAAAAAAGAAAGTGAAAATCACTATTACTTCTAATACTAATATAAAAGAAAGGCTGGAAATATGAGAGATAAAACAACAGAACCAGCAGTCATAGTTTATAATAATTGTAATCAGACATTAAGACAGTGAAATTGATGTAATGAGAGAAATCAGGTTGACATTTGTGAGAAGGTAGTCTCTGGAGAAATTTTAAAAATATTTTTTTTTTTATCAGCAAAATGCAATCAGTTGGATTCATCAAGGCAGGAATAAAGTTTTGTTCTTGAAAACTTCATAAAAAAATAGCCAGAGGGGGTGAGATCCCGTAATTGTCCTTAACAGTCAACATGACAGAGTAAGAGAGGGCAGTAAGATGAGAGGTGTGGGGGTCAAAGAGAGACTATTAAAAAAAAGAGAAGAAATGTAAAAGAAAGGGCAAGATGTGTGTGTGTGTGCATATATAAATATATATATATATATGTGTGTGTGTGTGTGTGTGTGTGTGTGTGTGTGTATATATGTATGTAGAGAGATAGAGAGGGGATAGAAGAGGAAAGAGAAAGAGTGAGAAAAATTTGACATTATAGGTGCAATGAAAGAGTGTTGGAATGGAAAAGAACAGACAGAAAGATAGAATGGGAGGTGGGAGAATTAATTAAAGATGTAAATGAAAGAGAAAGGAAAGAATCAAGTAGAAGGAAAATGGTGGTGCTTATCTTACTTTCTGATGTTTCACTATTTTTCCTATTTCTTTCATTTTACAAAAAAAAAAGAACAAAACATTACAGATTAAATCAAAATAAGAAAATTGAAAGAAAAAGAGAAAGAATCAATGAAAAAAAAAAAAAAAGAGCGATATAAAAGTGAGAAGAAAAAAATAAAATTTTTTAAAAAATGGCAAATAGAGAAGTGTAAAGAAAAAAGGACAGAAAGAAGTTTGAAAAAGTGACAAAGGAAAGAGATGAACAAAAGTAATAGATGAAAAAAGAGTTAATAAATGTAAAAGAAAAAAATAATGAGAGTGAGAGAGAACAAATGAAAGTATGAAAGACTTAACAATAAGATAGAAAGAATAACAAAAAAAAAAAAAAAGAGATGGAAGAGAAACATGAGAGAGGTAGTTGAAAGGAAAAGAAATAGAAAAATAAGAAAGAAATAAAAATAGAAAGTTTTTAAAATTAAGAAAGGAAAATTTCCATGAAGACATACCCGCCCCACAAAAAAACACATAATATAATTTTACAATCACATCGAGATATCTATATATGCACCAATAATGAGGATCTGTTAGCATTTTCTTGCCCTTGGTTCAACCATGCATTTCTTTCATCCACCTGAACTATTATTCAATGTAAATAGGTGTTGATTTATTATCTTGGGCAGTTAAATAAGTAAGAATAGATGCCAGCTGTCAGAAAAATCTATGATTTCTGAAAAGTGATAAACAAAAAGGAAATTGTAATGGCCAATTTAAAACTTATTTTAGAAAACATTTTCTTCATTATTCTTCTATTGAAACATTAAATATGTTATATATTATTCATTTAAAATGTTTTTGTTATTTATTTTAGTGAATAAATAAAAGAAGAAAAATATTTTTATTTTATTTTAGTTAATAGATTAGCTAGTTTATATCTGAGTAGCTCCATTCTATAAAAGATATGGGACATTTCATTTATGAGTCATAGTTGGTTGGGGGTGAAGGAAGCGATTTAATGAATAGAGATTTTGTATGTATGTGTATTTAATGTTTTCAAGTTATCGACAGTTGTGAAGGTGAAATTTAACAAAAAAAAAAAAATCATCACATATAGACAAATAAGTTAGGCTGCCTAATGATGGAGACACTTATTAGGTTGAGTCATAAATAATTTCCGTTTTCTTTTTTTTAATGGACTTTATTCTTCAAAAAATAAAGTACAATTACATTTTGTTTGATTATATGTTCACCATTATTTGTAATGATTTCTCACTACTTATCAGCTAACTCTTTGACAGCTTTTGAGTAAAATTCTGCAAGCTTTGATGCAAAAATGTTTTCAATCCACTCTTGAATCTATTTTGCAGCAATAGAAAAAGATAAGAATTGGTTGATAATTGGTCAAGTGAATATGACAGGTGGGGTCGAACAGAGTACCATAATTTTTTTTTTTGCATTATTCTTGCTGTATGGGTACTTGCATTGTCAAAGAGAACAGAATTTTTCCTTTAATTCTGTGTATGCATGCTGTTACTGCCAAGCAGAAACTAGTGTACTCTAAATTTATTCATAACTGCCACATATGATTCAGTTGTTCAGATGAAACTTTTGTAATTAAAATTGTTTCTGAAAAATGAAAATTATTTATAACTCAACTTAATACATATTTCATGTTGGTGGAAGAGATTGCTATTTGAGTCTAGTTAAAAACCAGAATTTTGAATTACAATTTTTATGACAGGGATTGCTGTTCTGAAGATTGGTGTAATACATTTTTTTAAAATTTTATTTGTTCAACTGCAGTATTAATCCAAACTTAATAAAGACTGATCAACATACACTGAATGAAAATAAAATTGCAACAACTTGAATATGTATTTCAATTTACTTAAAATTATATATATATATATATAAAAATGTGTGTGTATATATATATATATATATGTGTGTGTGTGTGTGTGTGTGTGAGAGATGATAAAATGTAGTTTTAAAGTATGCTATATTTATGGGTTAAAGTGCTCAATAACAGAGCATACGTATATATAAAAGTGGACATTGAAGTCAACATCCAGAGGTGACAGTCTGTTTCATGCTAAATGTAACCGTCAGGCCATAACAGACTGTCGCTTCTGGGCATTGACTTCAATGTCCATTTTGTGTGTGTCTATGCATGAGATAATGATATATAAATTTTTATTTGTCAAGAACAATATTAGGGGAAAAAATGTATGACACAGTAGAAAAAAGTTTTCTTGCGATGTGTTTCATCCTTTACGATGACTTCATCGGACTAAATTTGTTACATTGGTGTGACTATACATGCAGATGAATGGGGGATGTTGGGAATTTTCAGTTTAAATTTTTTATTTTGGTATATAATCTAGCTAATTTCATTAATTTTTTTTCTTTTTGTATCCATTACTTTTGTTATTAGATATTCCACACTGTGATAATAGAAGATTTGCTAGGAATGATGAAATGTTATAAGAGCCAGGGCGCAAATTTACTGTGGATGACATTATGACCAAAGTACTCTCTAAACATTTTTGTCTTAGGAGAAAGGAGGAAATGATTCACTAT